AGAGAGAGAGAGAGAGAGAGAGAGAGAGAGAGAGAGAGAGAGAGAGAGAACGATCTTCCCACTCATCCTCTTTGTTCTTTCTTGCTTGAGCTGCTTCTATGTATGCCAGGGAGGAGCCCCATCTATATGCTGTCTTGCGCTTGCCTGCACTGCCCTGAGCCCTCCAGCTCTCTTCAACCAACGTATCCTAGGCTGTCTTCTCGCCCTATGACGAAACCAAGTCATCCTCCTGTTTTAGTATGTATTATTGATGATGAGTGGGCCACGAGGATGACTTTGTCTACTACCATGGCTGGCTCATGTGTAGTTTCTGTACAGAAGGTCGCTTTATCCGCCGCGAAGTGCACTTGTCGATTCCCTCAGTTCTCCACCTTCCCTAAACTTTGGAACTGATAAAGAAGACAAGCAAAGAATTGAATAAAAAGGGTTACATAGCTGCCGACCACCGACCCCGACCGCCGACCGTTTTGCAGCCGACCAGTAGGGCACTGGTCGGCGGTCTGCAGACCAGTCAGAAAACAGTCATTCACTGATTTGTTTTCAAATCTGAGTTGGGGGCTGTACTGCACTTGCTGAGTACAGCCCAAATCCACTGATAAAATTTTGGGGAGGAGGGGGGGGGCGGTGGGTATAGGGGGGTATAGGGGGGTATAGGGTTGGTATAGGGGGTACTGGGGGGGTATGAGGGTGTTGGGGGGCGGTTTGGGGGTTTTGAGGGGGTGTATGGGGGTATAGGCGGCGGGTATGGGGGTGTTGGTGGGGTTATTGGCGGTTCTGGAATCTGGACCTTTTTTTTTTCTTTTTTTCTTTTTTCGGGGTGCCGACGACCCCTGACCGCTAGGTGCCGACCAGCCGACCTGTCGGCTGGTCGGCATCCTTCCAGTCCAAGGGCGCCGACCGTCGGGGTGTGCAACACTGATAAAAATGATAAAACACCAAAAATAGTAAAATACGGCGTATAATGATTACAGGAAAGGTCTGAAAACTACTCAATTGGAAGAGCCTGACGTGCGTGAACCATGCATGAGGGACGGCTGCCAGACAAGCTAGGTACCCTAAATCAATGAACAGTCGCCGGGGTTGTTCATGATTTTTTTGTATGTTTGACTGTTGACTGAACTTTGATTCAAAGCTGTATGTTCATGCAGATGAGTCCCAGCTTCTCGCTGACGAAACAGGAGACGGACTACTTGACGAATCGTATCCAGAATGGCGGAACAGAAGTGGTTGAGGTAAGCAAAAAGTAAATTGGAGGTTTACCCTTTGTCGTCATGTTGCAGAATAAAAAGTCTGCTGCAGTCTTTGCGCTGCTTGTTGCACGTGCTCTAGGAATCAGTAGAGTTCCATCATTCAATGGTGATACATACCGGCATGTATCACCATGAGGTGCATGAAAGTGTGTGTGTGTGTGTGTGTGTGTGTGTGTGTGTGTGTGATGATGATGACGACGCAGTTGATTGCGCAACAAACCTCCCATGATGTCTCTCTCTCTCTCTCTCTCTCTCTCTTGCTCTCTTGCTCTCTCACTCTCTCTATCTTGCTCTCACTCTGTGTGTGTGTGTGTGTGTGTGTGTGTGTGTGTGTGTGTGTGTGTGTTGCATACTAGTGAATATCTTCACCGAGTATGGGCAGAACCAAAGATCAACCAATATAGGATGAGCATGTATGCAGCGGAAGTCTGAGAAATGGACTGACTCACATAGACTGAACTCACCTAACATCACTCAACACACAAGCAATCGTGAGATGGTGGGGTCTGAAGCCATATACATAGACGATGCTTCAGCCCCGTACAACCATACACAGATGACGGAGGTGGGAGATATGGACAGCGCCAGATGTCACCGAGATAGAATCCAGAAGGTCACCGATATGGTAGTCCAAAATGTCTCCGAACAAAATCAGAGTGTCGTGGACATAAGTCACCAATGTTGGAGGTACAGAATCCTAATGTAACCGATGTCCAATCTGTGATGCCGCCAGGTATCAATCCCAACTATCTCCAATGTCTCGAATCCCGTAAATATCACATCCTCCTACCACCGAAGCCCAATCACTGATCTCTGTCCAACTTGTATCAATAGTCTCCAGTCTGAAGAAGAAGAAGAAGAAGAAGAAGAAGAAGACTGAAGAAGAAGAAGAAGAAGAACTCTGAAGAAGAAGAAGAAGAGGAAGTCTGAAGAAGAAGAAGAAGAAGTCTGAAGAAGAAGAAGAAGAAGAAGAAGAAGAAGACTGAGAGGGGCAGAGGTAGTAGAAGAAGTCCCGGGAGGGGCAGAGCATCGGCGGAGCTGGCGAGTAGCCCAGGCCCTACCTGTAACTGGAAGGTGGCGCCTTGCTCCTGTTGGAGGTAGCTGCGCCGCTGGAGCTATGGCGCTCACGGCGGCAATCAGGTAAGTCTCCTCCACGCTCCTCTCTACTGCAGTGCGCTAAACTTAGCGCTGCAGTTCCCAGCGCTGTGTTGAACCCAGAATAGCGCAGTGTGGCCGCTCCACAGTGCCGCTTCCCAAAGATGCCTGGAATGGCCGCTGGGCCGGCCTAAGTACCGGTCGGCGGCCGGTCGGCCTCAATGTTGCCTCAACGCGCCGGGATCTGAATCGTCAAGATTGACGATTCAGATCACACCGGGGGGCGGCAGCCTCAAGGGCGCCGCCATACCCAAACGGTAATGTCGTTTGGGCCTATACCTGGTCTGCTGCAGGAAAGCCAACCGGTGGCCTCAAGGCGGTCTACTGGGAGAAAGGTCTGGCCTATGGCTGGGCTGGCCTAAATACCCCTTAGCCTAGTGGTCGGGTCCGAAAGGGACCCGTATGGCGTCAGTATGTAACAGTGTGTGTCCATCTTTGTCTCTGTTGTCTGTTCTGTGTGTGGAGTTTGTTAAGTCTGCGCATCCGTTCCGTCTGCTTCTACTGTGTTCCGTCTGTGCTGTCTGTGCCGTCCATCTGTTGCGTCTGTTCTCTGTTCTGTCTGCCCTGTCTGTTCCGTCTGGTTCCGTCCGTCTGTCTGTTTGTCTGTCTGTCTGTCTATCTTTCTGTCTGCTTGCGTGCTGTAGGGTTTGCAATCAGAGAGATGGTAGGATGCTCGCTCCAACTTATCTGTTCAGGATTGGTCTAGTCTCTGCACCTCGGTTTCCAGAACTTTCCAGGGCATTCCTGATGAAAGCCAGCAAAAGGGCAGTATCATCTGATCCTCCAGACAGAGTTGAAATTCTTTTGAATGTTGTGCTTGCTTGGACTCTGTCGATAGGAACTTTCACGATGAACTTTCAGACGTGTGATCCATGAAGTGTCAAAAGTGTCTCCTAGGTATCATCATGATCTTCGAGGTGAATGGACCTCGAAGTCTTTGTGAATGAATCGGTTACTACGGCATATACGAACTTTCAAAAGGATTGACGTCTGAGTGTTTCTTGGGAGGGGGCAGGCGGGAGGAAGGGGGGGGACAATCCTTTTGAATTAAATGATAAAAAAGGGAGCGTTTCCATAAATAGCAGATAAACATTTTCAATTTCTCAATTATCGTTTCAAAATTTATGCCCTTAAGCCAAGTTTGTGGTGAATCTGGATTCTGGACACTCTATTTCCTCCGTGTGCGCACTTACGATGGGACATGTTATGCAGTCCAGATGCATCCAAGACAGGGAGTTCTGGCATTGACGGCAGGGCTCCTCCGGACTATTATGGTATGCAGTCCCCCTCTTACTTGCTCTTTCAAAACAATTTTGTCGGGAAATGATGTTGACACTGCTCCCTCTCTATGTTGCTTTTCCAGGCAAAGGCAGGAGCTGGATCAGCAACCCTTTCTATGGTAAGCATCCCCCCCCCTCCTCCCTCCCTCCTCCTTCCCTCCTCCCTCCCTCCTCCAGCCCTCCTCCTGCCCTCTCCCCCCCCCTCCCCCCGCCTTCCTCCCGCCCTCCTCCTGCCCTCACCCCCCCCTCACCCCGCCGCGCCCCCTCCCTGTGTAGTGAGTTCCATTCGCAGAGGTAGGTGTGCTCTGTCTCTGTCTCTTGCCAACAAAATATGTTGACGAACGAGCAAAAAGTTGTGGAAATCGGAAGACGCTTGCTGACTGGCATGGAGGCAAAATCTGACATCAGAACCACTCTTAGCGTCAGAAGGTGCAGACTTGGAGAACCTGTCCTGCTATTGTCTGGAACCAACCTTCACCGAATTTAATATTTATTATATATCATTATTATTATTATTATTATGATGATGATGATGATGATGATGATGATTATTTTACAGGGATAGCTGCTAATGATATGTTATCATCTTGAAGAGTGGAAGTGACTGGCAGCATCTGGATTTGAACTGGTGATGTGCGGTGTACTGCGTACTAATAGTTACGTGTTCATATCACTCAGTGACTCAGCCATGCAATCAACCTCTCAGGTGATTCACTGAGGTTGATTGGCATCGGCAATCTAGCAGGGGTATGCTTGATTGGCATTTTAAAACACCAGCACACCCGGGCCTGGAGGGATCGCACTGGGCGGCAAGCTTTTTGCCGAGCCGCCAGTGGTTCACTTTTTTTTTCCCTTTTGGCCCTGCGCTGCCAGCCATTGTGGTACCGTTGTCTTGAGCCTCCGAAATTTTTCGTAGGCGACGAATTGCTTTTTCCCTGCAAGGCTTGCACCGTGTACAGATGGGTTCAAACTTCAAAGTTTTTCCAAGAAGATTTGGTGGTGTTGATCCACTGGATGACCAACTTCTGTCTTGGTGCAGTGCATCGGATAGATCCTTGGCGTGAGTGAGCTCGGTCAGCTCTTCCTTTGTGGATGATAATATGCAATGCATTTTCTTTTTCTCTGGATACGAGACGAGTCGCTTTGACTTGTCGTCTGCAGCAGACGAGATGCGTCAGATTGCTCCCTTCTCTAGACACTCTTTCTCTTCATTAAGTAAACTGTGCGTGAAGAGAAAGAGCGTCTAGAGGAGGGAGCAATCTGAGTTACTGCGCAGTTTGCGCAGTTACTGGCTTTACGCAGTTTGCGCAGTTACTGTACAGTAACTGTGCAGTGACTTAGATGTTGGGAACAATCACCAACATCTGAGTTACTGCACAGTTACTGGCCTTACGCAGTTTGCGCAGTTACTGTATGTGAACAGCTTCTGCTTAGGGCCGCCCTAGGGAGGGGAGACCGGCGTTATTTTTCACCTGAAGATAATCCCTGACCATGACAGTCAAATCATTCCTCATGCAGGATTTAGAGAAAGCATGCCGTTGATTAATCTCTCTCTCTCTCTCTCTCTCTCTCTCTCTCTCTCTCTCTCTCTCTCTCTGTGTCTCTCTCTCTCTGTGGCTGTGTCTTCATGTGTGTGTGGTGATGTCTGGTGTATTACTCTGTGTGTGTGTGTGTGTGTGTGTGTGTGTGTGTGTGCGTGTGTGTATCAGGCTTATGCAGCAGCCAAGTTTGCTAATAGCTGCTTGAGGGCGATGAAAGGGGAGAGCGGGATTGTCGAGTGCACCTTCGTTGCATCCGAGGTAAGCTATATATAGAATAGAAAATCCATTGGCAAGAGAGAGAGAGAGAGAGAGAGAGAGAGAGAGAGAGAGAGAGAGAGAGAGAGAGAGAGAGAGAGAGAGAGAGAGAGAGAGAGACCCAGGGGCTGCGGCGGGTGTGGTATGCCCTTGGGGGCAAGTTTGATAGTGACCCAGGGGGCAGTTTTGATAAACTAAGCTGATTGCCATTGATTTTCTGCATTCATAAGAGATCAAGAAATGCCGCTGTTTTCTCTACCCTCCGAACTATAGAACAAAAGACCCATTTTTTTTCGCTTTTGATTGAACTTGATTGGTCTTGCCTTGCCGCTGAACCTTCAGCAGTGTACCATCTTCAACTGTGAATAGGACGCCCATCGCCCGGTCATTATAGCTGTTTTTTGGGGGGGCAACTTTCAGTCTGTTAGCTACAGCAATAGTGACTTGGCTTTCGTTTTTTTTTTCTTTTTTCTTGTAATACAAAAACAGAGTACTGTATTCGGAAAAGGTGTTTTTTTTAATTTTTAAATTTAAATTCGAAAAAGGTTTTGAGGCCGGGGACCTCACAATTCAACCCGGAGTTATCCTCGTGAAACGGTATTCACCAATTCGTGGTAGCTGAGGCAGATCCCAGGGCTCGATCCCTAGTTCCCCAACTT